AACTGAATATTGACCAAGTAATAGTAATACCAAATGTTATGCCACACACAACATAAACTGAATATTAACCAAGTAATAGTAATACCAAATGTTATGCCGCACACAACATAAACTGAATATTGACCAAGTAATAATAATACCAAATGTTATGCCGCACACAACATAAATTGAATATTGGAATCCCTAGATGTTTGTTATTATATATGCTACAACTGTCACTGATTTGTTATTGTCGACCATGTGACTACATTCTGGCAAATCATTATAAAGACCATGAACATGAGATATACAGTTTGTAATTATAAATATTACTACATATAAACAATTTTGCACAAGATAGGTGATTAGGAAGATCACTGGTTATCAAGAACATTTATAGTGTATACTAACCGGCAGTGTTATCAGTATGAAACAAATGTGATGTCATCGGCCTTGGCTCTTTCTTCTTCATCTCATCCATTGTTAACAGCTGTGCATCTGTAAAACTAAAATACAGCAAAAACCTGTGTTATTGACCACCTCTATATAAAGACAACCTGCCTATAGTGACCCCATTTAAGCAGTCCCATAACATGCACAACATTGCTTGCTACATCATTATATAACAGTTATTTTGGCTATCAAAAGAGGCTTCCAGTAGGTCATGTGATAATGTACACGTATGAACAATGTCTAATGTGACCAATCTTTCAGCAATATTTAGCTAATTCTGTTTGTTTAGAAGCCAAAATAATTATAATAATAATTTAATAGCATTTAGTTTCTAAAACAATTTTTAATTTCCGCTAATCAAACTTATTTGATATCGATTTTGATGACTTCAAATTAAATATTATGTCAAATGTATGAAGTCCTCTTGGTGGTCGCTATACACTTACTTTCGTTGATAAATTGGACGATAATCATAGCCCATAATGGAGGCTGTACCCACTGGTGTAGGAAGACTGATAGGTTGGCCTGGTAAAGTTAGATGTCGTGCAAATTCACTGTAATCAATATTGCCTTTCTGATCTGAATTACATCTGGAATGAAATGGTAATACAACAACAATAACATTACTTATCTTGCTATCAAATATGCATGTTTAAGATTGAACATTTTCTGAACAATTTTATTTTAGGCTCATTTTTTTTTTTAATCTGATTCTGAAACTCAATATGACCTACCGGTAATCAATAACATGTTAGTTAAATTACACATGGCTTGTCCTGTATATGTAAAGCTATGCAGATTATAGCATCGAATGAAGAATGTCATCTATGCATACAGATTAACCATACATATAAGTTTGATAGTAATCACCTAATAGACATTTACCGTTCACTGCGATATCCTGCATTATGTGTGAAATTTAACGTAAAAACAGAACAAACACCGTGTGGGATTCAACAAACACGAAAGTATTTTGGGGATATTTCCACGCTTAATAATGTGCTGTACACATTTGATGATGGTCAATTTTGATGGAGTATCTAAATGCAATATTCCCAATTCAAAGATTGGTCTTTCAACTTTGAGCTATGAAAAAATCTCGTGGTTGAATGGAAAATCACCTATTAGAATGTAGACTCATAACTCTTTAATAGATTCTATAGATATA